TGTTTTTCTGTCAATATGGGGTGCTGTGTGTACATTAATGAGGAAAAAAATGAACTTAAATGATTTTAGCATATGGCTGCAATATAACAAAGAGTGAAAAATTTAAGGGGGTCTGAAAACTTTCCGTACCCACTGTATGTACAAAACAGATTTGGTTTGTCCCTTGTGATTTGGCCTGGTCTTACTCCTGGGATTCAGTGCGAAGAAAGTCTGCTGCAAGAGATCTTGTTGCATCCCTGGGTTAACTCAGTGCAGTTAGGCAAATACAGGGTTAATGTTAATAGACTGCTTGGAAATGGAGGTCATTAAAATGAAAGCATCAATTGTTATTCACCAACATGAGCGGGTGCTACAGTGAATACGCTCCAGCCTGTTAACAGGGTCAGCGCAGGGCTGATGTGAGGACTAACCGGTATTGTCTGGTGGTCGCAGTGTGGTGGAGAGTGCGCCCATCACTGACTCACACACACACACATTTATTGTGTAATTGTTGATGATGCTGCCCTTCCTCACTGTAAAGTCAACAAACCTGACAGACAGGCGAGAATGATGACAACAGTGAATGAAAAGGAGACGCAGTGACATCACAGTGGTCACCAAGGAGATGAGAGGTCGTTGCCCAGTGTCACCCATCACTTCAGCTCAGGACAGAAGTTGAGTCATACCTGCATCATCACACCAGCAGCCAATCAGGGAGCCAGCTGTCATGATGCACATGAACAGGTGAACAACCAATCAAGAGAGTGGCTGTATTTAAAAATCAGGTTTATTTTAAATCAAACATGAATGCAGTTTATTTTGTTAATGCTGACTGAGATCTTATTTAGAATTAGCAGTTTATATACAGAGGGAGGATTTGATTTAATGAAAAAAATAACTGAAACACTACCCACGTTTTGATTTCTGGGTATTTAACTAAAGAATATACTCCAGACTACAACTACATGTGCAATAGAATATTACACATCAAGTGTAATATTACTGCTTGAGTTTTCATTTCTACAGTATTGGTTTTTTTATCACATACTTTCTTACATATTAATGAAAGTAAAACAGAATGTGTTTTAATTGGTAACTCTGGTTTTGTTAATTCTGATATTCCTAGCTCTTTGGCCTCCTACCTGAGGCCTCATGTGAAGAATCTTGGGGTGGTATTTGATGGTGCTCTTAAGCTGGACGAACAGATAAAACCTGTGGTCAAGGCCAGCTTTCTTTCATTTGAGACTTCTGGCTAAGGTTAAACACTTTCTTTCTTTTAGTGACGTTGAAAAGGCAATTCCTGCCTTTATTAGCACTAGACTAGATTATTGTAACGCACTGTATACTGGCATTTCTCAAGCATTATTGTCTCGGCTCCAGTTGGTCCAAAATGCAGCAGCTCATCTTCTGACTAATACAGGGCATCATGAGCATATCACTCCAGTTCTTGCCTCAGTCCATTGGCTTCCTGTTCGTTTTAGGATTGATTTTAAATTGTTGGTGTTTGTCTATAAGGCTGTACATGGTCTAGCACCATCGTATATCTCTGAGCTGGTTCATTTTTATACTCCAGAAAGGACACTTAGGTCTTCTAACTTTTGGAAAAAAAAAAAAAAAAAAAGCAAGAAAAATGATTGTGTGCATGACATTTAATGTTGCAGCTGGTAAAGGTGGAGATATTGTTAACTACCAATATGATTATAATATGGGGTACGCTACATGCAGCTGGGTAGTTGTGAATTTCCCATCAGGGATCAATAAATTCTGATAATTAACCTGTATTTTGTTTGATTAATCTGATTTTAAAAAGGAACTAGTAACTAAAGTTATCAAATAAATGTAATGGAGTAAAAAGTTTTTCTCTAAAATGTAGTGAAGTGGAAGTATGAAGTAACAGAAAATGAAAATACTTAGGTAAAGTACAAATACCTCAACATTTATAATTAAATTTAGTAAATGTAGTTACTTACTTTCCACCTATGAAACGTAGTAGATTAGAAGTATGCTAGTAGCTGAAGAAAATGAAAATACTCAAGTAAAATACCTCAAATCAATAGTTAAAAACCATTCGTTAGTTTAATAACACACGAAACTGGATTTGTGTTGTGGGCGTGCCCGTTACTTGACGCCAGGGGGCGGAGTCACTGGATGTTCATTGGCGTGCGGGGACACAGCTGCACATCCACATCTGGATGGGCAGAGTCGTGTTCGCCACACCAGGCGAAGGATGTGAAATTTGGACGTTTTCCGAGGTTGTCAGTGAAACAAAGCAGCAGCTCGACTCACCGGCTGAACTTTCAGGTGGTGTAAATAACGGCGGGTCACCGAAGGCAGCACGCTGAAAACAAACTGCTGCATTTTAATGAGCTGACTTTAAGATTCACGACCCATCCAGATAGCTACTGACCATCCGTCCAGTGAACCAGTCATGATGGAGTCTATCTTAGACAGTTTAACAGCAGAGAAACTCTATCCGTCCGGAGGGACCAACCTGTTGGACCTGGAGGAGCTCAGCGACGGAGATTTCCTCACTAACGTGGTGAGACTTCATGCTAATTATGTTTGTTTAGCTTTTCTATTTCAGTCCACATACTGTAGGTACCCGTGCGCTGCACCGCTGTGCTGTTTCTGTTTGCACAAAGTCATACGTCTGCATTTAAAGTCTCATAAAACAAACGCACCTCTACTGCCTGTTCCGCCCGGAGCCGGACCTCGGGAGGGCGGTGCAGTTAGGAGTTCCTGGCGGACATCCGGGGCTCATACTGTGTAAACCAATATGTGTTACTGGGAACTTCGACACATGCTCTGGAGAGTTACTGGGAACCTGCAGTGTGTGTGTGTGTGTATGTGTGTGTGTGTGTGTGTGTGTGTGTGTGTCTGCCCAGTGTGCAGTAAATACATTGGCTATATTAGTCTATATTACTTCTTTCGGATTAACTTCTCAGGTGTTTTTCTTAATTAGACCTTAGTTAGAATTAAGGCTCCCAGACATGCTCTGGAGAGTTACTGGGGACCTGCAGTGTGTGTGTGTGTGTGTGTGTGTGTGTGTGTGTGTGTCTGCCCAGTGTGCAGTAAATACATTGGCTATATTAGTCTATATTACTTCTTTCGGATTAACTTCTCAGGTGTTTTTCTTAATTAGACCTTAGTTAGAATTAAGGCTCCCACTCAGCTCATAAAAGAATGAATGTCTTGATTTCTTTAATGAAGCCATTTATTTAGTTAGAGTTGTTAGAATTTGTTAGATTGTCTGGCAGCTGTTATGAGAAATTTTAAAATCAAAAAGAGCAGAAATTCCAGATTCTCTATTGTGGATAGTTTCTGATTTTCCTCTGTCTTTTCTAATAGTACATTTAATATCCTTGGATTTGGTTCAGGACTGTTGGTCATTGGGCTCTGGAAGAGAAAAAATGTGGAGGTTTGTTGATAATCAAGGTAAATTCTACTTAAATCAGGTAGTTGAACTGGTGTCTTTATTGCATTTAGCCAGTAGTAGCTTGAAAGAATGAAAGGTCTAGCATTTAGTTAACTCTTGTTAATAGCTGTCACTTATAGTATATGCTGTCAAATCGCAGTCTGTCAGTCTCTTCTTACTGTAGATGACTATTAAATCTTGCTCCACTCCCTCCATATTAGGGCAGAACAGCCCAGGCAAACACACAGTTCACCAGAGGACCCAGCCACCTGTGGCTCCCAGTCCTCTCTCCGTATCCCCATCCAAAGAGGACTGCTGTATGCATCACCTCCCATCGCACCCGAGACACTGCATCTTAAATTTCAGTAGCTTTATCAGGAACAACAGGATGTGGTGGAGCAGAATCATGCTTGCTAATCAATGCAATCGTTACTGTGCACAAGTGGTGCAACAGGAAGTATTTGCTTAAGAAGAAAAATACTAACTCCATAAATACTAAAGGGTTGCATGCACCCACAGTGTGCTATAAGTGTGATGACAGTGGAAGCAGCCTCTAATTTATGACCATGTATACCCCCTCATTTCCAAGTGAACTGTGGCTGTGCCGTCTGTACATGCCATGCTTGACCGAGCCTTGCACTCTTGAATCAAGGTAAGAGTGAGGACAGACTGAGCAGCACTGAGAGTTAATGATACCATCACAGCATCCATAACTGTGCGAGCAGGAGGTGCTCTTCCTTTAGTCCATCTCCTGGCCCTCGCTCTCTCTTTCCCCACTCTGTTTTCTTTTTAAAGCAGCACAGGTTTTTAAGGCAGACCTCTATTCTGGTCAGTGAGTCAGCCAAGCAGTCTGCTTGTGGTTTATACTCCCCCTCCCCTCGTCTCTGTTCTAAATAAAGTAGTCCTCCCTGGGCTGTACCACTGAGGACATG